AAATGAGGAATTTCATTCATTAATATAACGTCATTCCACAATCGATTAAAAAAATTGACTAAACATACGTCTTAAATGATGTATTAATGGGAAGAATCATTATTTATTTCCTAGTTTAATGATTTTACTGAACGATTAAGTTATGCATTCAATTAAGTTGTAAGTTTATCTCCCATGTTTAGCTAAGAGCATCCATAATGCATTCCTTTCTAGTCCAAATAAATTTTGCCAAATGTCAAATTATTAACAGACTTTCTAATAAAAATGAAACAAAGTGGAATGACTGGACAATGAAATATAGAAAAGCCTCCAATGTATGTAGTCTTGTGGCCTAATTAATTGATGAGGTGGAGTACCATACAATCTACCTAATTAAAATAGTCGCAATAAATTAAATACTCCACTATGCCGTACATACGTAAACGGCTGCATAGCTTGTTTCACTGGGTTTGCAATTCCTTTTTACATCGACGCATTGTTTTTAATACAAATGGGTGAGTCAGCATGTCCTTCGGCCTTTCTACCCTCGGAAAGTCATGTAAACAGTGAGCAATTAATTTTGGTAAATTCTATGGTACCCATAAGGTACAATACCTTTGTCCACATGGATCAATGAGAATGTAACAGTTGAATTATTTAAATCTAAATTAAAAATGATAAAGTGAGATTTTAGAAAGGTACCGGAGTTGTCACCATTAATTTTTTGCCAACTCAGCAATAGACTAGATGCATTAGAGAGATTTCAAGGTGTAAAATGTAATGAGGTGGCATGTTTTAACCTACACTAAACTACATGCATTGCGGATGCTCTAATGACCCTTATAGTTTCACTTGTCACGTAACCATTTAAATAAAATTATTTTCAAAGAAAAATTTTCTCGAATTATTAGTCATTACTTTTTTTTGAGAGGTATTAATCATTACTTCTTCCACTTCATTGGTAGCATGTGTTAGCTAATTAGTTTTCTCATGCAAAAGGAAAAGTTGTACTCCAATTATAAGCTATTAGTTTAGAATTACAAGTAAGTTCTTCAAATTAATCATTATTGGAGATGCTCTAAGTAAACATGACTTAATAGATGAGTGAGTAGGTATTCCCATTGAATCGATTAAATTGAAAATAAACATCTTCTTAATCCTTGTGGAACTTCAAAATCTAATTCAAAAGAGGATTTTAGAGTTCCTCAAACGATGTCACCTTAACGTTTTAATTTGAACTATACGAAGTATAAGTTGCAGTTGCATGTCCTACGTTATTGTTTCGCTTCTCTTCAAACATAGTGAGAAGAATTTGTTTCGTCTTGAGAACTCGGAAGAACATAATCATGTTTTCTAGGAATTGAACTACCCATAATAAAATGATTGTTCAATTCGAGGGACTTCTGACCTACACAATAAGGGTCAAAGTAGATTCTTGAATGCCCAAAACTAATTTGATCACCTTCCATTTACCATCCGCTCCGATCCTCACCTTTTTCATTTTCTCATTGGTGTTCTCAAAGTTTTTTAAAGTCAAACAACATATATTAGCTTTAATTTTATATACTACGTATAATTGTCTTCTCATTGTACTTTTGTGTGTAAAAGTTGGGCTTGTTAAAGTCGAAGTTTGTTACTACGTATATTTTATCGTATAACAGTAAAGTGTAGAAAATTCTTTAAATGAAATTAAAACACAGATAGAGTATATCATATACGTAGTAGCTAGTATATGTGATCATCATCATTACCGTTGTATTCTTCCTAAACTAAGATTTATTCACTTTTAAATGATGAAGTTTTATGCTTTTAATAATATCATATAACTCATATTTGGAAATGAAAACCGACCGATCGAGTGCAATTTGTGATGCATTGGGTTGAAGACAAATTAAATCTAAATAGTTGGAGTGAGTTAAGTATGAAAAATGAAAAACTTATTCCAATAAAATTGAAACAAAATCGAGCTACTCGATCTGATCTCAACTTCATCTCACCATTGCGTAAATCCTTCCCTTGATCAAAACATAACTACTCCTATTAAAACATGGTGTTTATATTTTACTTCTATTTAGAAAAAAGGATGACACCCCATCCCTGAGGGCCCCCCAACACCGACCGGACGGCACGATGAGAGGATGTAAATTGGACTATAATCACAATCTGACAGATAGAGAGTGAGGCTCTGTCCCCGGTACTTGCAAAGGTCCTATGCATTTTTCAACAAAGTAACCCTTCATCGCAGTTGGTGGGATTCGAACCCGAGACCTAACCCTTGTGACACTCCCTTTCTATTTAGAGTAATTTTGAATAGTATTCCATATTATACATCGGTTATTTTGATGATTTGCGAAATTTATTTCTCTGGGGTTATCCGGCCTGTGGAAAATGTTACGTTGGTTCATTATATTATATCCCGTATAATAATACATACGTAGACCAATTAATTCTTTTTTAAAGGGACGATAGTGGTAAATAAATACGGAGTAATAAGTAATAACCATAACAACAATAAATTAAAGTTTCTTAATTTAATTTTCTCATACGACATTTATTTTTGATTTTTTGTAGCTCATGATCATATATACATGTGTCATGGATAGGGGTGGGGAAAAATACTCAAATTTCGGTATACCGGACTTACCATATCGAAAAATACCGAATTTACTGAAATATTTGGTATACCGAAGCTCTTGGTACGGTATGATACCGTACCGAATTACTTCGGTATGGTATCGGTATATATTTTGGAAACAAACGGTATACTGATATACCGTCATACCGTAATTCCAAGTCAATAATTTCCTTAAAATTGTAAAAATAACTAGAAACACAACACTAATTCAAGGGTAAATGACTTTATACCCATGTTTCTTGAATTATTTATACTTTTTGTTGGAGATCGGTGTTATTTTAGTTATATATATGTTGTTTAAATTATTTTAGCAGAATGTGTTGTTATCTTCATATATCATGTGTTGAAATATCTATACATATTTATAATATTTTTTGTCAAAAGTTGAATAGAACACAAATAGGTTATCTCATTGGTATTTTATAATTAATTTCATTAATGATTTTAGTATATCACTATTAACACTGATTTTCTTTATTTCATTTGACATATAATAATTTGTTATATTAAATCATGGTAATTTACCGATACCGTACCTTACCGTACCGAAATTTCGGTATGGTAACGGTATGTATTTTTGCATATCGAAAGTTTACGGTATGGTAAAGGTATGCGATAAAATATTCGGTATACCGTACCGAATCATCCATGCTCATAGAGCTAGCTTGTATCATACTTTTGTTTTGCCAGTCAGAGGAAATGATTATTGTATTCGTATAAAAAAACAAATAGGGATACAGTGATCGAACAGAACGATCCATAATACTCCGTATATGAATTTACTCTCGTCCAACCTCAAAAGAAATGAGTTATTTCTTCAAAGAATGATACATTACTGCCAGCTTTTTATTATTCAAAACACTTTTTAATTAAAAGGATAATGTTTTGAAATAAACAAGGAAACGATAAGGTAATGTGGTCGACTCCACGACAAAACAAATTAATTGATCGAAACAAAACATCGTCTGTTCATCACTTTTAATTGATCGATCAGCAACATAAGAATACTCCTTTTACAGTCTCACGACTCTCACCAAACAAGTAATAAACACTCGGGGATGCTAAGTTGATCAAGTGGTTGAGAATTGAAATTTGAATCAATAGACCAAAGTTCAATTCGAATCCCCGCAACGATTAGGTGAAGGTTACAGAACCTGAAATAAGGCTGGATTTGAGGCTCCTATGACTAGGTCACCATGACTTACTTATTCACCATCCTGTCGGATCCGGATTTGGGGCTCCTGGGTGAGAGATTCCACCTTTTTTGATCACCAAACAAGTAATAATAATAATATGCTTATCCCAATTCCCAACTTGCCATTTTTATACTACGTATACTAAAAGTTAGTGCTAAAGATTGCTCACTTATCCTTTCAAAAACCAAACTTGCCCACCTATTTGTATGGGTCATAAATTGTAAATAGTACTACCGTTACTACGTACGGAGTAATTTTCTTTATTGATGTTTACGGATTGATGAAACACATGAATTTATGTTTTTCTGCATTAATTACCATATAGTTTTCCCATGTACTTATATTTATTATAGTATTGACTTTCACAACATAGTTTCACGGGGCGATTGACCTCAATATTGGTTCAAAAGAAATCTAGATTCATGATTGATGAAGAAACGACTACAATCCTCCTATGAGCACACAAGAGCATCCAAATGATGATGAAGGAGAATATACATCTGGCAAACGACATTCCGTCATCACAAATAGCACCACTAGACAATGCTAGAATATAAATGCATATATAGTATTGAAACTATTGATTAAACAAATCATTTTTCATAATTAGGATAAATAAAGATTGAAAGGAAAAGAAAAGAAGAGGCGGCGGTTAGGGTTCCTCCATCGCTGCTCCTCTCTATGCGTTCTAATTTTTATTTTTTCAAAATCAAATCTAGTTTATATTTATGAATTTATCCATTGTACATTGATACTTAGTATATATGACTTTATTCTCACTAAAATTGTCTATCTTTCTTTTTTGATCTGTCCTATTAAGATATTGTAATACTCCCTCGTCCCAGAATTAACTTCGGTTTTGACTGGGCACGAAGATTAAGAAAGTGGGAAATATGTAGTGGAGAGTTGTGCAGAGGAGAGAGAAATGTGTAAGAATGGTTGTGAACCATAAATCCTTTGCTAAAAAGGGAAAGAAGAGATAAATTTGGGACGGACCAAAAAGGAAAGAATGAAGATAATTATTGAACGGGGGAGTACAAAGTATCAAATTTAGTAAAATTTGAATGGTTCTAAATCATTCAAAAAAAGTGTATTTAGTTCATTCTTTCTAGACTAAAGTATATCAGAATTTCTTTTTTATTTAAAATGAAGGTTGCTTCCTTTCTGGCGCTGTGAAGCCCGTGTGAACCATCCTTTCAAAATTTTCAACCATTGCTGTGCACACCTCTTTATAATCCCACCCCACTCCCCGCCCTTCTTCTCACTACTCTCTCCATCTTATCTTCTCTTCTTCTTTCCCTTCAACTCAACCTTTCTCTGCAAAAAGTAAGCTCAAATGGCCTCCCCTGATGATACCTCTGCTCTCGACCTCATCAGGCACCACCTTCTTAACGATTCTCTGTTCCTTGAACATTACCCAGAATTCCGATTTCAATCGGAGCCGCAGGTTGTCTCCAGCCCGACCAATAAGAGGTTCTGTGAGAGGAAACCCAGTTTGAATATCGAGATTCCCAGATCTCCGGCGAAGAAATTGGAGGAGGGGAAGGGAAAGCAAGCTCCGGAGGTTCAAGAATCCGGCGAAATCAAGAAGCACTACAGGGGCGTGAGGATGCGTCCCTGGGGGAAGTTTGCGGCGGAGATCCGCGACCCGAACCGGAAAGGGACCCGGATTTGGCTTGGGACCTTCGACACCGCCGTGGGCGCCGCGATGGCTTACGACCGGGCGGCCTTCAATCTGAGGGGGAGCAAAGCTATACTTAACTTCCCGCTTGATGTTGAGAATTTCCGGCCGGGGAAGGACTCTCAGCCGCCGGCGTTGGAATCTGGCCGTAAGAGGGAGAGAGAATCTCACGCCGGGGAGGATGTATCGGTGTTTAAGGAGGTAAAAAGAGAAGTGGTGGAAGAATCATCTAATAAGACGGAGGAGGGAAGTCAAGTCCCGGCACCGGCCGCAGCCGCAGCCGCAGCAGCGGCGGGTCCTTTAACTCCGTCAAGTTGGATGGCGGTATGGGATTGTGGAGAACCGAAGGGTATATTTGAGATTCCACAATTGTCGCCTTTGCCATTGTCACCAAGTTTATATAATTTTTATAGTGGAATAATTAAAGTTTAAGCACTATAGTTTGAAAAGCCTTTGGGGGAAGAACAATCTTTCTGTGAACACAAAAATGGAGAATTTAGGCAGTTGGAGATGGTTCTGCCAAATCTCTTCAATCTTTTATTTTAGCTTGAATTATTCAATATAATGTAAATATATGTAAGATACACTTATACATATACACCTAAGATATATGAATTTGTTACATTTTGTACTAATATGTATATAAAGTTCATCATCATCTTCTGAATCTACCATCCTTTGTCGTGTACCATAAGTACTCGTATATTATAGCCAAAATAAAATACAAGACTATTGGGTATTCAAAACACCATTGAAACTGTCTAAATAAAATGAACCAAAGTCCAACCAGTCCGATTGTATGTGTGGATTTAAACTCTTGATTTGTTGGGAAAAATATTGAAGTCATAAGTTACCATCACCTTCAAATGAGAATAAGTGAAAGTAACACCTAATTGGCTAATTATTTTCAGCTTCAACCAAACATTTACCATCAGAATTCAGAAATCACAATATAACCGCTACCTAGGCTACTCCTAGAAAATTGGCTAAATATTTTGAAGCGCCACGTTAACATAGTTACGTAGGATGGCTTATTAGCTTGCCGAGGTTCTAGTGATGGCATGCGATTTTTTTTTTTTGATAAGATACGTTTATATTATATGCATCCTTAAAACAATTGATTATGTTTGGATTTGTGTTTACTCGTTTTCACATTTGTAACACAAGAAAAGTTTTTGATAGTTTGGCTTAGGAGATGGGGCACATAGGAAACATTCAGAGTTAAGTATACGGGAAGAAACAAGAGAAATTGTGAGTCATGAATGATGATGTATACAAGTTTATTACAAGAATGAGATATAAAAGTTGTTTGTTGGTTCGTCCTTTTTGACAAACTTTTCAATTAGTCGGTCAATGGATATGAGGGACTACAAATGATGGTGTTAGTAGGTTAGACGGTTAATCCTTTACGAGTCATGTTCTCTACAATCAAAAGGAGGTGCTGACGCTAATATGACTGACACACGATATGAAAAACATGAAACACATACAAAGTTATCGTTAAGAGTTTATAGTGTTGGGTTCCCTCCTTAATTGAGAATTAATTGAAAAGTTAATAAGAATTCTAGAATTCCGCAGATATGTCTCGAATTCTCTAGATGTGTGTAGAAACGTATTGAATGTTCTAGAATATTCTAGAACTTTCTAGAGAGGCGTGGAATTATCTAGAAGTGTGTGGAAGAGTGTAGAACATTCTAGAACATTGTGGAATTTTCTAGAAAAGTGTGGAATTCTCTAGAATCGTGCAGAAGTGTGTAGAAGCCTATAGAACATTCTGGAGCAGTGTGAAGTTCTCTAGATCCTTCTAAGAGATTAAAGAAGCTTGTGGACACTTCTTAGAAGAATCTAGAAGTGTAGTGATGTATAGAAAGTTCTAGAGAAGCTTTGAGGAGAGTAGTATAAATAGAGGGTGAGACTCCTCATTCTTGTGAGAGAACTTTGAGAGAGCCATGAGGAGGCATTGAGAGAGAGCCATGTGAGTGAGGGCCTAGAGAGTAGGGTTGTATACGAACCGAATCGAGTCGAATAATGAGATTTTGTATTTGTATTTGTTTAATTTTTTCGAATACGAATTCAAATTCAAATATGTAACGAATATTAATTTCGATTTGTATTTGTATTTTAATAACAACACGAATAGTTAACGAATTATATACGAATATCGAATCGATTTGAGCATAGGTTAAATATTAGTCAAATACGGAGTATCACTTTAAAATAACTTTTCTTATACTCCGTATTGTTTATGTTGTAAATGCATGTTATGACTTAATATGTGTTTTTAAAATTTAAATTTAATGGATCAATGCAATTTTAGATGGTGCACAATATACTAAAGTGAATTAATTTTATGATTAATAAATATAAATCTATTTCAAACCTTTTGAAATAAACACTAACACACACATATAAGAAATTATACTTATAATGTGTGTAATAAGTTCATAATTGTATATATTAAAGTCAAACAACTCTAATTTTATTCTTCAAATCAAATACATAATTATTTGTAGGAAAAATTGAAAATAATAATCCCAACTATTGCCGGTCCGCTGAAAATAATCCCAACTATTGATTAATTTTGTATAATCCTAACTATATTGACTATCCGCCAATAATGGTCCATGACCATATATTACCTCTATAAAAAGTGAATTTGAAATAGAAATTAAGCGTAAAAATTAAAAGTTGAGATTATTTAGAGGGATTACTTGTTATATCTCACCCCATCCACTTTAGAAACTACAAGAATTTATTCATAGGGACCATTATTGGCGGAAGGTCCCTAAAGTTGGGATTATTCTGTAATAATCAATAGTTGGGATTATTATGAGCGGACCGCCAATAGTTGGGATTATTACTATCAATTTTTTCTTATTTGTATTGTATTTGAAAAACACTTGAACCAAAAAATTTATTTGTATTTGTATTTATATTCTTGTTTATTACAAATAGGCTTGAAATCAGTATGCAAAAATGTATATATGGGCTACACTTTGAGGGTATTATTGCTATCTTTTAAAAGTTATTATAGTGTTATTACTATTAGTATTAATAATGATATTAATATTACCATTATTATTAATCGAATATATTTGATTAATATTCGAATCGAATACACTGGTATTCTTATTTGTATTTGATAACAGCTCGAATCAAATTTAATATTCTTATTTGTATTTGTATTTGTATTTGTATTTGAATTTTCCAAATTCGAATCGTCTTATACGAATTCGAATCGCGAATCGAGCACAAATTATTTGATTCGTTTACAACCCTACTAGAGAGAGAGAGCCTCCTTGAGGGATGTAAAAGAGGAGCCTCAAAGAGAGCTCTTGAGTGAGGGAGAGCCTCCTTGAGATAGAAGAGTGAGAGTGAAGTAGTCCCATATGCAAAGAGTGATGTGAGTTACCCGTTTACTGGTAAAATATCTCTTGTATATTTCAATTGTATAATACAAAGTGATATTGTTAGATTGAATCTTTGTGTTATGAGTGGGTGGGTGAATGTACAAGAATTCTTTGAGTTTGTGATCCTTGAAGAGGTCGGGGTGTCGTGTTTCCCCAACATATAAAAGTAATGATAGAAGGACAAATAGCAAACCTATATTTAGGGGGGTGTCCCCAACATTGATTCTGAGAGATTCCTAAAGATTGTGGATTTTGTAGGATTTCTGTGGAATTCCAGAGAATTCACAGATTCCAGGGAATAGAATTCTATGGATTTTGATGGAATGTGACAGATTCACTATTTTAGAGTGGTATATATTTTTATAGATTATTGTGAAACATGAGTTACTTAGTAATTAGTATAAAAAAATATAACTCCGATTTTTGTTAAATAAGTGTAACATGTTAAAATAAATAATATTTACGTTATATATTTTTACTTTGACTACATTTTATATATTATTAATAAATTATTTTTAAAAAACAATTGTTAAACTTGTCTCGTCTCGCCACATATGAAATTATTTTCAAATAGGGAAGTAAATATATCAATGATCAAAAGTGGAGCCATGGTCAAACGTTAAAATGGATCGTTGCAAACTGACATCAATTTGCAAAAAGTAGTGATTTTGTTTTAACAAAATACTTAAAATTATATGTTAAATTAGCGCCAATACATAGTCATATCAAAATGAGTCCTTACACAAACAAAAGGATAAAATAACTTTAATCTAGTTCTTCGTCTGTGACATCAATCCACATGTTTTGAGCTATATCGTTCCTCCACTGATTTGCATGTTGTCTTTGTTCATCTTGACTTTGGAAAGTGTCCATTTCTTCTTCAACTTCTTCCAATAGAGATGGATCAGTAGAGTCTTCTTCATCATCATCAGAATCAACAGGAAATTCATCAGCCCGACATTCTTTGCGTAGATAGTTATGGACCCCAGCACATGCCAAAACTAACTCTGCTTGCGTTTTGAATGGAAATGGGGGAGCTGACTTAAAAATCGCAAACCGTGATTTGAAGATACCAAATATTCTCTCCACTACATTTCTTAATGAAGCATGTCGTAAATTGAATAGTTCACGTTCATTTCCCGGATGGCGCCCATCCCCACCAAAATCTTGGAGATGGTATCGAACACCTCGAAATGGAGCTAAAAATTGTCGACGGTTTGCAAATCCACAATCAACAAGAAAACATTTTCCTAAGAGTACAATATACATAAATACCATTACAAATTTAGTGAAATAAAAAAATAAAATGTAATGTGATTAAGCTTACCTCGTGGCACTTTAAACCCGTTTCTTCTCATTAAAGCGTCATTTAATAATTTTGAATCATGAGCTGAACCTTCCCATCCACTTAGGATATATATGAACTCCAAATCAAAATTAGTAGCCGCCAAGACATTCTGAGATATTTTTCCGTGACGATTTCGGTAAGAGCACACATCTCTTCCCGATACTATAGCAGGTATGTGTGTTCCATCAATAAGTTCTAAAAGAAAACAAACAGAACCATTAAACCAAAAACTAAGTGAACTATTACATTAATAAGATTTTTCAATTGGCATGGGGTGTGTGAAAACAGAGAGGTCTATAGTATTCATAAGACTATCAAGTATGAGATTAGTAACTACATAATTATTGGCAGCAACTCAAAATTTTATTAGCAACTACATAATTTTAACTTAAAAATTGAGGTACACTGCCATTATGACATTTCATCGAATACTTAAGGGGCATAACTGCAGCTTCCAAACCATTAATTACTCAAACACATAACCTCAATTTACTGTGTTATGTGTAGTGATATGTTTTCTTTCCAAATGCTGAAATCATTTTTAAAAGTCGTAATTATACAGCAAACAAGCAAGGGCAGAAAAACATTGTAAAAAGGAAAGCTAGCATTTCACTTTTTTTAACGTTTTTGGATAAGCATATGCAAGGAGGCTGAAGGTGTATGGGACTATGGGCAGCCCGTTGGAGCCCATATTCGTCTGAAGCAGTAGTGTTAGGTGTGGGGAAGGAGGCGTTGAGTGAGGGTGGGGGAGAGCGGAGCTGCCACGCTCGAGAAAAACCAGTCCGTACGTCAATGATATTATTGAAGAAGATAAACTTGTGAGAACTGAGAAGATACTAGAAGAGAAATACCTGGAGCAGAAGGCCGAGGTCGGCGAAGTGGCGATGGTGAGATCTGCCTAGAGCTTATGGCGTAAGTTGGAAGGGCAACAAGGATTTCAAATCTTATGGGTGAGGGTGAGATATGTGTGGAATGGATTCAGCTTATTTTATTTTTCAGATTCCGTCCAAATCAGTCCAAATGACATAAAATGGAAGTCCATGGAATTTTTGGGGACCGTAGATTTTAGAGGAGTTTCTAACAATCTAATTTGAGGACAGGTGGATTGTCAGGGAATTCTGAATTCTTTTGAAATCTAATTTGGGGACACCCCCTTAGATTTGAGAGTGATTTCACTAAATTCAAACATACGCTTATCCTTACTCAATAGATGTCAAATTAAACTACACAAGTGATTCTAACAAACCAATTTGATAGCATTTACGGGATCTAATAATAGGAGTTGTAGGTTTGTAGCAACCAAGAAACACTGTCGGATGAATGTTTGACCAAGATGGATATACTACACGCGAGACTTTATAAAATACTTGTATATACTACGAATAAGCTTATGTAATCGAACTGCCGATCACATTATAAAATTTTAATCATAGCTACCCGTTTCTCTATTAAAAAAATGTGTACACATACAGCTGCAAGCCACGAGCCTAGATGGCTAGATTGTTGTGGTTCGAATTTCATTCATTGAAATTCATATTAGAGTTCAAATTACAAAAACATCTATAAATTAGATTAAATATGACTGCAAATTCCAAATGTACACGTAATGTACATCCCTAATCTATCTGCTCATAGGATATTTGTCTACAAAATTCAAAAACTTTGGAAGATATCTATATACAAAAATAAGGTATTTGAAAGGGGCACAAAATGTGTACTACACCATAAATTGGAAATTCTTAAGCTTGTTGCAAATGTCAAACCATCACTACTAGAATTTTCTTTATTTGCTGCTACCCAATTGCTGTAGTTCTTAGTTAAAAATAGGAAAATATTATAAGTATTTGTTGCGGTTCTCCGACGACCGCAGCAACAAGTTAGAAAATTTGATACCTTTTGCTGCGGCTGTAGGAGAACCGCAACAAATTCTCATAATATTTCAAATTTTACATTTTTTGAACCTTCTTGCCATGGGTAAGGGTGAACCGCAACACAGATCTTAAATTTCCCTACTATTCGTTGTGGTTAGGGGTGTGCATTAACCGGGTCGGACTAGAATTTGGACCTGAACCGGACCGGAATGGACCAGTCTGGAACGGACCGATATTAATAGGTCCGGGTTTCGGTCCTATAATTTTCATGATTCCGGGTTCCGGTCCGGTCCGGGTCAAACCCGGAAAAAACAGGTCCGGACCGCTGACCCGTTACATTATTACTATGTAAATTTTTTACCTTGTTCTGTACCATTAGTTATTATGTTTTAGGGCATAGCATTTTTCTTTTCCAGTAGTATTATATATATATGGAGTATATATTTTACATTAATGAAAATGGTAACGTGCGCTGCTACACCACCAAGCACAACACACACCTATACCAATATACCATTAGTATACATGGAGTGTATATTTTACATTAATGAAATTGGTAACGTGCGCTGCTACACCACCAAGCACAACACACACCTATACCGAGAGACCAAAAGGTGAAAGAGTTAAAATCTTTACAAATGGTTTGACTGGGGCTCTCAAAGGGGTATTGATTGGGTGGTTCAGACTACTGCTAGAGAATCTTTGGCAGGAGCAGCCAATTTTTTGATGGGCACATATACTACACCTGAGGCAGATATTGAGTCCCTTTTAGCTATTTCTGAAATTCAATCTGGAGATACCTTCCCAAATTTCGGGCTTGTAGCCTGTGATATTAGAGAAATTAGTTCTTGTTGTTAACATAACATTTTCTCATGTTAGTCGGTCTGCGAACCGGTATGAATGTCTGAAATTGCAGTTTTGATTTATGTTATGAGATATTGAAATTGTAGATATGAATGCTTCTTATTTTTTTTTTACGTATGATATGTTTGGCATTTTGGTTGGGACAAGTTTGTATGAATTTGGCCAGTAAACAAAAAAAAATTGGTACTTTTTAAAATTTTTTTAGTGGGATTAAGAATCGTAAAAATTTAAAAAAAATGTTATTTGTTGCGGTTCAGAACCGCAACAATAAGTGACTTTTTTTAAATAGCTATAGCATCCATATTCTTTGAAGTTCTTGTGAGATTCACCATCTTCCCTTGCTCTCCATTCAGTTGGAGTGAGAAGAACAATATCATGATCTTTTGTTCCATTTTCTTGCAATCTTTCTTTATGGGCTTTAAGGGACCCAATGACTTCTTTTGTAGTCTTCATTTTTAGATCACCAAACTCTTCAATTGTGGATACAATTTATAATAACTTTGGAGAGGCAGATATCAGTAACTCTTTTACCACTTGTTCTTTTTTCATTATGGTACTTAACCCTCTCTTAGTTTGGTAACAAGTGTCACGCCCCGGCCTGGCCGGACGCGCTAACAACCGCCGCATAATCCGATTAAGGCAACCGCAGTTCACCCTACTCGAACCATGCAAGGCGTACATGAATACCATTCACACTAGTACATCCATAAACAATCATAAATAAAGCATTTCAAATATACGCAGCGGAATACAAATACTTTTTAAAAGTAAAAGGCCACACAGGGCGAACATGAGCACGCAGGCTCCCAAATCATTTATAATTTAAAAATAGTCCATGAGCATTATTTTATTTATATCAAAATAGAACTGGAAGAAGCACGAACCACGTCTTCTCTCCATGGATCACCCGAAGCAACGGGAACAGGAAGCAAGCTCTAGCTTCTACCTGAAACTGTGAGGTGGCCTCCCCCGTGAAGGGGAGGTCAGTACTTGGAAGCATTTGACAAGTACAATGACAACTATACTGAATATAATTCATGTTTCAAACACAAGACCCTCAAAATAGGGTGATACTATATTATGGGCATAACCTACAGCTACCCCATTTCAAATCACTTGTATAGAATATATATACCAAGTCAAATAGCCGACCCGTAGGTCCATTTGTATTTCAAAACAATTCCCCTTGTACAGCCCTTGGCCTATTCTTGCATATAGCAATATCGAGAGGTTATCCCACCCCTAGTCTAAACCCAACTCCATCGAGAGGGTTACACAATTTATCATTTGTACCCGTCCACGTTGGACTTACCCACCCTACGAGTGTATTCATTCATTTTGGGCTTACACCCCCAGCATTATATCTTTGATTCATTTAGGGCTTACACACCCCGTATATTCTTAGTTTGTGTAGGGCTTACACACCCCGTATAATACTTTACTCATTTAGGGCTTACACACCCCGCGTAATACTTTACTCGTTTAGGGCTTACACACCCCGCGTAAAACTTTACTCATTTAGGGCTTACACACCCCGCGTAATACTTCATTCATTAGGGCTTACACACCCCGCGTAATACTTTATTCATTAGGGCTTACACACCCCGCGTAATACTTTATTCGTGTAGGGCTTACACACCCCGCGTAATATCCTTTATCTCGTTAGGGCTTACACACCCCGTATATATATCCCCGTATACTCATTGTACACGAACAATCATAATCTATCAACCTCGGGATAGTCTTCATCAAGACTCCCCGGGCTGCCTTCATATAGTCTAGGTAGACTCCACCATTTCCTTTGAGTGTGACCATAGTCCATCACTCATTCTAAGTTCATGCCTATCTAATTCAATACTATAGATAGCACATACAATTAATCACTACGGATTCATATCACTTTGATCATGTCAATAACTCAAGTATTCCTTACTTCACATTTAATCATTTTGCCTATCCACATAGGTATCCATATATCCCTTTTAAGATCTTATGGAATCACACATTTATCAACATTTGTCTGTATCATGCTAATCCTCTATATCAATTCAATAATTAATATATTTCAAGGATTTCTCCCCTCATGCATAATGCCTTTGCTTATCCACCTTAGTAATATCATGTATCAATTTGTATCACCACATAGCAACACATTTATTCACATTGGAGTATATCATTTAATTCCATCAAAATCATAATTTGATTACTTAGGTAATCTCATGCTCAACTCACGAGTTATAGACAATATAGTCAGCCATCCTCACCTTAAATAAGTCCAGCAAGGTTGCCTATTGAAGCCCCGTCGTTAAACCTTCGATCGGGAATGATCTGAATCCACCTTGGCTGGCAGAGGACAAAAGCCGCCCGGCTTTTGCAAAAGCTGCCCGGCTTTCGGGTTCTGCTGCACGAAAACAGCACCTAGAAGTGGCGGTTTCCGGCGATTTCGATTCCTATCGATTCCACAACTCTTCTAAGTTAATTACCAACACTTTATATCATATTTCTACACTTTTAAATGTGTAAAACATCCCCTATAATCCATCATATAATTTCTATAAAATCATATACGGAAAATATATTAAACGGAAGAATAAGAACCGGAGTTACGAGGTTCTTACCGCTAGGCTTCGTTTTCTATCGGATTTCCTTCACCTTTGGACTCCCTTACTCCGTGATTGTTGAAGGCACTCGGTTGAGCTCTCTTCCCTCCCTATGTGTCGTAAGACACTTCTAAGGAATGAGAGGATGAGACCCTCCCTTATCCCTTCTATAATTAGAAGGTTGGGCCGGTTTTATTTGGGTTCGGTTCACGGGCTGTTTCCTTTTAATTAATCCGGTCCGAAGCTATTTACAAATTAATCCTCCCGTTGATTATGGTCTACACTTTATACGGAATACCCCGAATTAAAGTGTAGGAAACCCTTCAGCCTTATACGTGCTATTTTCGGCAATATGGGCTAGAACGCCATTTTGGTTACTTGATATATCTCGGTTGGGCCTAACGACTTTCATTCATTTATTTATATCATTTTTGGCTAGTAGACCATAGTAGGTCGGTCCTAAAATGTATTGGATAGTCCCCTCCAATATCCCGGGCTCAAACCCCTACACATTTCTATTATTTAGTAAGTGGACTCAAGTAGTCTCTCGTCTTATTTCTTTACCTTTTATTAGGCCCAAACCATTATATTTTACTTACTTCCTTATCCTTGGGCTTTTTATTTAATTTATCTATGTCCAAGAATATATTAGTTAGTATCTCCC